CAGATATATAGAGAGAGAGATTTGGAAGGATTAAACAAATTTAGTGACTGTGGTAGACCAGTGCATTATTGCAGTGATATTTTCGTATTTATTAGTGTTTATTTTCAATATTATTGGTTACATTATTAGGGATCATGATTTTCTTTTCCTTTTGTATACGCATTTATTGGTTGTGAGTTTATTGTTCACTTCACTGTCATTGTCATGTTCCGGGTTCACGGTTCAATTGTTTACTGCGTGTGTTGATGAACGAGGTTCACCTTTTACCCCTCCATCAAAATAGGTCTAATTCATGTCCACCTTGTATATACCACTATGTTGGCATGCTTCACATTTGTCTCAAAGTAACTTCTGAGTAGTGTTGTGGGGTGATTGATATTGATTGATAAGAACTGACCATCCCTCGGACTTCGTTTTCGCGCACCATCCTCAGCTCTTCCAGTCAACCATACACTTGGAAGCACTAGACTCAAGTTTCGCTCTCATTAGAGCTCATCAGTGGTGCACACCCACCGTCCCATCCGGGATTTGAACTCCAAACCCATAGCACAGAGGGTTGTGCGTTTTAATCAGTCCTGTATGTATAGTGACTTTGGAGGCGATGAGTGAATTTCGCTTTACTCTATGTCGCTGTAAGATGACTATGTTCAGTGAATACTCATTGCCATCAAAAAGTAGGCGCACAATTTATTATTCCGATTAGAAATGGTCAGATTGACCTACCAACGTCATGCCCTATCCTCGTGCGAGGATAGCGGTATCGAATTACTCCAGGTGGCATACTATCTGATCTGGAGTGTGCCGGCGTCACTGGTCTAATAAGTGAAAATCCAGGTAAGTTGCAAGCTTTTCTCGGTAGTTTGAGTGCTAGTGTAGCCTCGTTTGGTATGCATTTTGCACCTTCCAAGTGTAAAACGGTGCAACCTCACGTTGACTAGGCAAACAGTAGAGGAAGTAGATAAATTTAACTATCTGGGCAGCTGTATCTCACTTGGCGGATGCATGGCACATGGAGTGTCGACGCGAATACAAGAGGCTCGCTTGGCATTTTCAAACTTAATATATCTGT